AGTTGGTAACAGCGGCAGCAGCATCTGTATGCGCCAAACGGCATCAGAAACCGTATGTAGCAAGAAGCAGATCGTCAGATAAACCGAACCCACGACACACAACAGGGACAGTAGCAGCATCTGTATGTTCTAATAAGCAACAGGAATGTGTGATCCTGCAAGCCAACGTCGACCACACCTTCAACAATACCATCTGTACCGTCTGCTACATACGCTCTATCGCAAGTGCATACGCAGCACAACCCTTCCAGCGGAACCAGCAACAGCAGCAGCAGCAGCAGTGTCTGCAGCAGTGATAGTACGATGTTCAAGAGCAACATCAAATAGGGAGGGCGTGGGTGGGTGGGCGTTGGTGGGTGGGTGGGCGTGAGTGGGTGGGTGGGTGGGCATGGGTAGGTGGGCAGGCAGCTTTCCCCTTGGCATGAAAAAAAACAACGATCCACATTCTGCGCCAGCACCAAATTCAAGCAACAACTGTGCACTCGCACCCAGCAACCGTTGTAAAAATCTACAAAAGAACAAACTTGAGTTCTCTTTTATTTCACGGCGTCCAGCCAACGAGGAATGAATTTTTTTTGCGATTATTTGCTTACGCACCCCGCTCTACCACCTCACACAAAACGGAATGCGGGGCGTGCAGGCTTACTGCACAGGGCGGACAAAGCATAGCCGTTGCCAGTAAGAAGGGCGATTCAGCACCGGAGACAATCCAGGAACGCGGGTCTGACCCACACAGCCCGGCACCAGGTGCCCCCAAAGCAGAACTAGAACAACCTTGAGGACAGCAGCAGCAGCGATATGGCTTCAGACGCCTATCCAGGATCCTGGATCCCAACAGCACGACACCAGGTGCCACCTAGAGCACATAACACAATACACCAGAAGCAACTCGCCAGTAATTGTTCTTATATTGTGTGAAGCATACCAGAGGAACATCTCAAAACCTCAATTCTTAGACCTCCCGATGCTGGTGGACAATGCAACAAGCCACGCGACAATCATGCCATAAATAACTAAAGTCATAAAATAAAATCAATTCTCTCCTGAATGCACTCAGTAAACTTAAGCATGATCCTCAAACAATTTTAAAACAATTTGAAAGCACAACAGCATAAACCGCATAGATTGCACAGGCCATGCAAGTATGAGAAGCCTACAATTAATCCAGTATACTCAGATGGAGAGGCAAGGACTAATTTTAGTGTAAAGAAAAGGACCAAGGAACTACTTCTGAAATACACAGTACAAGTTACGCTATAATGTTCACTAACACCACAGGTCAGTGCCGTGCAATGTTATCGCATGGGCTGATTGTTAAGTGGTGTTAGTGGACATTGTAGTGCAACTTGTAGTTCCTTGGTCGTTTTCTTCATTAAGGGGGTTCGCGATGGTTAGCCCATGTTGGATTTCCGAATTTTTTTCTGAAAAATAATGACTTTCGGAGTGGAAAATGGGACGCGATCATGCACAGTAAATAGTTTGACCATGACTTCACAGCGCATGCTCGAGTCGAGACAAGATTTGAGGAAGAAGCTCAGCCACTAGTGGACTTGCGGATTTGTTTTGACACTGGCGGTTTTTGGATAGCTCGGTTCTCCTGCCGACGTGTCGTGGAGATGAAGACGCGGGAGAGTAATCCGTCACCCACGACGCGGCCTCTCATTCTGCGTACTGGACGATGCAAGAAGCCGAGGAGGGGGACGCTTCGCAAACTCAAACGATCGATCGAGTTCCTGAAAAACGGAAAGGGCGATCTCCACAACTAACGCCACTGGATTCGACTCCCGCGAAGAGGTCGTTCAGTGCCCCTCTTCACGGTCGACCGGAATCGTTTATCTCAGGTATCTGGCTGTGGGATTGTCTGCGTGCCAGAATCCTGGATGTGGCAAACCTCTGGCGCTCATTGATTGCGTTGAAGAGAAGAGGTACGACCTGGGTAGCGTACTTGTCATTCCGTGTCAGCAGTGTGGGATGGAGAATTTTATAGATACAGATAGCCCTGTAACTGCTCAACACCCTGGCCCCCGTGCTTCCACAAGCAACACCAAAGCTGCTTTGGGTAAGTGCGTTTTTCAATCTCATAAGATTTATTCATGATATTTGCGAGTCATTGCCACCCTATGGCTATGGAAATGTATGAGCACACTGTATGCGCGGCGGCCACGAGCGTGTGTGTGTTTGCATAGGCCTGAATGTTTGTGCATGTGTGCACCATACGCATGTATGAACATGCACATGCATATGCGCTCATGTGGACGTGCCCTCGTACACATACTATACACGCGTGCATGACCGCTCCCAGGGCATGTTGGTGTGACATGTGTATGCGGGCATCTCCACTCATGCACATGAGTGTGCACATGCATGTGGGTGGGTACGCACACGTGCGTGAATGTATGTGTGTGTACGCGCGCGTGTGTTCTATTGCGTGTGAGAGCATGCATGTGTGTGTGTGTGTGTGTGTGTGTGTGTGTGTGTGTGTGTGTGTGTGTGTGTGTGTGTGTGTGTATGTGTGTGTGTGTGTGTGTGTGTGTGTGTGTGTGTGTGTGTGTGTGTGTGTGTGTGTGTGTGTGTGTGTGTGTGTGTGTGTGTGTGGAGGATCGCACCCCCCTCCAACTCCTCTTTGGAGGATCGCACCCCCCTCCAACTCCTCTTTGGAGGATCGCACCCCCCTCCAACTCCTCTTTGGAGGATCGCACCCCCCTCCAACTCCTCTTTGGGTGGCTACCTGTGCCTCGGCCGTTTAGTGGTCCCCGGCGACGGTGGAAAGACACGGTGATGACCGACCTCAAGGTTGCACTGCAACAGCCATCTCAGTGGTTCATCCTTGCTCAGGACCGCCAACAGTGGAGGGAAGTACGGGTTGCCCCTCAGTCGAGCTCCACCATGCCCAAGTCTGTGCATTGCGCAGTGTGTGACCGGAACTTCTCACGGGTCTCAGATAGAACGCAGCACAAGTGCACCACTCAGAGACGGCTTCCCATCCAGCTCCAGCGTGGATCAGTGCAATGCCAGAACTGCCAGAGGTGGTTCCGCAGCAAGGGTGGCTACTCTGTTCATCGATGCCAGCCTGTCACGAGTTCTCCTACACCAACAGTCAGTCTGTCTGTGCCACTTTCAGCTTGTTGCCAGCAGCACTGCCCAACATGTCAGCGATGCTTCCGTTCTGCGGCCGGGTTCAAGCGTCACAACTGCAATCGTGGTGCGAGACCATCTGCTGCTGAGAGAGCAGCTCTGCCCCTCAGCTGCCCACGTTGTAAACGCAATTTACGCCGGCAGCAGGACCTAGCCAGACATTCGCGGTCCTGCTTGTGATCCGTGTCCCGTTTTCTGGTCCCCTCTCCATAGGGGTGACACTTGCCCCTCTGGGCAGTCATGCTGCTAGTAGTAGTAGTAGTAGTAGTAGTAGTAGTGTGTGTGTGTGTGTGTGTGTGTGTGTGTGTGTGTGTGTGTGTGTGTGTGTGTGTGTGTGTGTGTGTGTGTGTGTGTGTGTGTGTGTGCACGGATGTGTGTGTCGACGGTGTGCATTTTTGTGCTGGGTGAACACTCTGATCTCTAAACCGCGATACCGGAGCTCCCAAGCTACAGCCTCAGATTGATTTATAGTTCATCGTTGGGAATGAGTTCGCTGCTCATGATGCTGTTGCGGATGTTGCGGCCCTAGCTGAAATTGTCGAAGCTCGCCCTGATGCCAGTATCCTGTAGCACACTGTCACTTTTGCATCAGCATGTTCGGCGATGGAGTTTGCAGAACATCAGCAAAAGCGGCTGGCCACCCTTCAACCGTTGGTCCAAGCAACGTGCTTCTCTAAATCAGTTGCAGTGCAGGCAGCTGCCAGAGGGTTGGTGACGAAGCACTTTGTCTTGTCCTACAAACGAAGTGGTGAGCCAGCCATTTCCAGACTGATGAAGGAGCAAGTCGGAGGTAAGGAGCGGGTGACAGTCTCAAGGAAGATTATAATAGCGGTGGCTGAACACCTAGCGAAGAACCAGCAGCAACCCAACTGTAAGGAACGCCCTGTGGCACAGTGCTTCACTTGTTTGTGCGCACCGTAAAATACCATCATTTTTGCCAGTGTGGGGACGTTCTAGCTCGCATAGTTGAAGAACAAGAGGACTCAATGTTGTCTGATTCGTTCCAACATGTCAGCTTTCATTGTAATTTGATATGGGGCTGTGCTAAGCGCTATCACAGCTACATGTACATGTATCACAACCAACTTACCAACAGGAGAGTTATCATGGAGAAAAGTATCTATCGATAATGCGTGCACCCAGGGTTTTCCGGCAAATTTACTAGTTCAGCTATTCCATCCTTGTATTGTTCTGAACGCCGAGGGCTCTAGTGAGTTTATGCAACACTTAACAGCCAAAAATCCAATAAGTTATGACCAAAGCAGCAGCAGAGAAGTACAAGCAATATAGATACGTGAATTTACCAATTTTAGGCAAATTTTGACAGTTTTTGGGATTTTTCTCCAGAATATGCACGGTGACCCCTATTTTCGCCGCGGTAAACCTGTTCCAACCCACTTATAGAACGTATTTGAAGTATCCACATATGGGGCAAACTCAAAAATAAGCTGCAAAAAATATTCAAAGTTTCATTTTGCGTCTTTTTGTTTTCTCCAGGAAATGACGACCTGGATCCCATCGTCAACCAAAGTGTACATTTTTCGGTGTTGATATCATATTAGTCAATACCTCGAACAGTCTGTAAAATTTTATGTCATATTTTCTGTCCTAACTGATGGTATGGACGATTTCTCATCAATTTTCGGATTTTGCAATATTTTGTGTTATCAAGGAAAATTGTGTTTTTGGCAAGACCTATTCGGGCAATTGAAAAACTGATGTTACTAAGTTAAAATATAAGGCTGTAGCTATTCAAACCTGATGTCAGATTGGGCTGATGTTGAAATTAAATTTTTGGGCCTAACTGTCCCGAACCCCCTTAATCTATGTTTTGTGTTTCGCAAAATGTCTTCACTTTTCTGTAGCGTACCACAAGGGAATCTGCTATCAAAATTGTGACACATTGCGTCCAGAAGAAAATGACTGTGACGATGGCTTTATGTGTGATGGACTGATCTTGAACTACAAATGTATTGGTGAGGATTTCCTATAGGAATAGGCCTTATCTATAAATGCAGCTATGCATCTTCTTCCCGCCGTTTGGTTTTCTGGGGCAAGTCCACTTCAGCCGTACACACTGTGATCATACCAACCCTGCATAGAAGTATATAAGGCAATAAGCAGAATCAGCGAAGCGGACATTGGACGTAGTAATGAAAAAAAAAGATGGATAACAGAGTTTCCTAACACGTTTTCTAGAGACATTCATTCATTAGGGAAATTACGTCTCAATAATGAAATCTAGCAATAAAGAACAATATCTACGTGGAATAGTACGAAATGCAGTATGTGAAAGAAAATAGGAGAAAAGAAGGTGAAGTGCAAAAGACAAGAGAAGTGTGAACTAATAACAGGGGTGGGCAGGTAAGAAATAATAACGTGAGGGTGAAGTGTAAGGAGCCGCGCATGGGTATGTGTATGTGTGTGTGGATGCTAAGAGAATAGTCTAAGTTTAGTGACATTTTCTAATGAAAACTGCTTCCAATACTTTAAGTTCACTAAACCTACGAGCACGGCACAAAACTGTGAAACAAGAGTCATCATACACTGAACGGCACTGACTGTTGGACAACAGGGGTTTCTTTACTGTGGGTCTCTTTCCCATATCATCACCCTCACCTTGCATTTGTCCACTGTTGGTCTCAACATCTTCGTCCTGCTCTGCATCACTGCCAGTACCTTCATTGTCCGTGGTCTGCCGATCCTCATCCTCCGTCAATTTTTTGCTAAGAATGGTTACCCCAACAACAGGTTTTTGCTAAGAATGGTTACCCCGTACATCTCTTGAACAAACTATTCAATGAACCTGTTGTCAATACCACGGAACAGCTCTGTTGTGAAACCACAAGTTCTCGAGAGTGAAAGGACTTCTCGTTTGTGACATTGTGTTCGTGTCAATGCAGTTGTATCCCGACTCCGCCGTACGCTGATGATTACGATGTAGTATACGCTACATGCGCTATGTGCGGTTTGCTGTGTGCGCTGTAGTTGTATGTTGTATGTGTATGCTTTTCTCATATACGCTGTCATTTTAACGCTATAACTACCTGGTGGTTTTAGTGTTAGTTGTTCAGTTGTTCATTCAGTCATTCATTGCTATTAGTCGATGGAAGTGAAATATATTGTTGAGAATAAATAGTTGTCCTCGTGCCGTGTGGGGTCGTTCGTCCCTCATACTTAAGAGAACCAGAGGGTTCACAACAAGCTCTTCGGGCCTAATCCGTGCCGAGTCTTTCTGAGACCGCCATGGAAGGGTCAAGTATCACTTGATGTAGCCCGAGAAGTGACAAAATCGTTAAAGGGGAAGTTAAGGCAAAAGTGCTGAGTTGAATGGTTGTGGTCCGAGGAAGCTGAGACGCTCCCTTCCTACTTTAATCCCAATCGAACTCGCGCACTTCCACCGAAACTGGGTGACTGCGCCCTACTAGATGGGGATTTGTATGCAAAATGTCACTAAAAGCGCCATTTCGTTCTTATAAAAGCACGGATGACCGCGATTGGCCCATATGTTGTAGTCTTTTAGACGCTGAGTCGACTGGTTTTGGTCCGAAAAGGCTGCGATGCAGCGTTCGGCCCTTATTCCCAATCGAACATGGTTGAATAAGTGTTCATGTGCTCCTGCGTACACCAGTCACCTGGTCACCGTGCCTGCAGGGTACAACGAACTAGCGTGTTTGACCTTTTTTGGGTGCAGTCTTGTCACTCGAGTTGAACCTTGGTGTGAAAGTTGTCACTTGCTGGCACAGTGACCAGGTGATTTGGGCACCCAGGAGCACGTGACCGCTTGTTCAACCATGTTCGATTGGGCATAAAGGAGGAACGCTGCATCGCAGCCTTTTCGGACCAAAACCAGTCGACTCAGCGTCTAAAAGACTACAACATATGGGCCAATCGCGGTCATCCGTGCTTTTATAAGAACGAAATGGCCCCTTTAGTGAGATTTTGCATACAAATCCCCATCTAGTAGGGCGCAGTCACCCAGTTTCGGTGGAAGTGCGCGAGTTCAATTGGGATTCAAGTAGGAAGGGAGCGTCTCAGCTTCCTCAGACCCCGACCATTCGACACAGCACCCCGAAGACTACAACTGGTGAAATTTTGATTTTAGCCTTAACTTCCCCTTTAAACAAACTGACTTCGCAACCTATTTTACGCCAGTCTTCACTACAGCACGTGCGTTCACGGTGAAGAAGGACGTTCTTCCTACCCAACTAATTAGCCATTTAATCTACCACTTTGAATGTCGGCATTGTGTTAGCTGATATGTAGGAAGAACCATTCAGCACCTGAACGCACGTGTTCAACAACATGTACCGCTCTATCCATTATCAGACAATGCTAGAGCCCTACGGCCTAGACAAGGCCGACCAACTAAGCCCTTGAAGGAGACTCACATCTGACAAACGACTCGGCACCAACTTTTACCTGAGGAGACTACACGATTAACAGACAGCCCAGATGCTAACCAATCCAAGACACATCGACCAATAACACGAAGCATGACTCGATCAACACAAATGAATTCCACCAATGGACATGGACCCGAAGCAGCAACGGATGTCACAACATATTGATGGAGGATGAGGATCGGCAGTCCACGGACGATGAAGGTACTGGCAGTGTGTGATGGAGAGCAGGACGAGGATGTTGAGGCCAACAATGGACAGATGCAAGGTGAGGGTGATGATACTGGAAAGAGATCCGCAACAAAGAAACACCTCTTGTCCAACAGTCAGTGCCGTTCAGTTTATGATAACTCTTTTTCACAGTTTTGTGCCGTGCTCGTAGGTTTAGTAAACTTAAAGCGGTTTATTGGAAGCAGTTTTCATTCCTAAACATAACCCCGACCTGTGCATCCAGAAAGAAAATGTCAATAAACTTAGACTATTCTCTTAGCATTCACACACACACACACACACACACACACACACACACACACACACACACACACACACGCACACACACATACACCCACCCACATACCAATGCGCGTACTCCTTACACTTCACCCTCACGTTGTTATTATTTCTCACCTGCCCACCCCTGTTATTAGTTCACACTTCTCTTGTCTTTCGCACTTCACCTTCTTTTCTCCAATTTTCTTTCACATACTGCATTTCGTACTCTTCCATGCATATTTTGTTGTTTATTGCTAGATTTCATTATTGACACGTAATTTCCCTGATGAATAGAGAGGTTAAGAATGCACGTCATTTCCGACGTGACACGCAATTTGATGTCAAAATTGGCGTAAAACTCCAAATTTCGACGCGAGCTGCAGGTCAGCCGCGTTGTTTTTCGACGTGCGAGCCAAATAATGCGAGCTGACCTTTTGCATCACGTCAGAAATAACGTGCATCTTAACCTCTCTAATGTCTCTAGAAAACGTATTAGGAAACTCTGTCATCCATCTTTTATTTTTTTCATTACTACGTCTAATATCGGCTTCGCTGATTCTGCTGATCGCCTTATTAAAGTTTTTGTCTCCGTGCCGCTTATTTGCATAGAAGTATATAATTAAAGAACATGGGACAGGTTTCCCGGCACAAATGCTGCAGCCATGTTTATGCATAGGTGCACGAGTAAATAAGCCCCTAAGAGGGTGAAACTTTGCAAATGGGATCTCCGACAGCGAAAACTCACATCATGTGTGTCAGGTATGTTTTGTACTACGTGTAACTAGGATAGGGTGGGAGCAATCCGAAAAATCTGCCGTGATTATGCTGGCGAGTTGCATACGCACAGTGACTTTCTGGCAGGGAATGCATATATTATTATTCCGCTGCTCGCTAAAAGCGGGCTGGAAAAGTGTAATTTTCGAGCTCGTCGCTTACCAGACCCGCTAACCCGCGTACCCGGCCTTGCTCGGAGAGCTCATCTGTGCGTTGCATACATGTACATTGTTATATTTGCCAGAATATGGTCGACAGAGAACTACATGAGCAAGAGCACAATTTACTACAACTATACTTCAGAACGACAAGCAAGGAACTATTCGAAATCAGGAAACGAATAACTGACACAGCTGACAGAGTAGATTACGCGCTCTACTTCAAACTAAACAGCATAACGTACACATGGCAAAGCAGTTGACAACAGTGTACAGTGCATGCATGTACAATGTGCAGTACACACAGAGCAGCGTATGGCGTACAGATCATGATGTACAGACAGACTATGGATTCGAACATAACACTCCTCCTTTTTTAGATAAGCAACGGCGTAAGGAGTAGAATGCTGTTGATACTAAAATAAAGAAAAAAGAGCTACTGCATTGCAACATGGAACACAGTAAAAATAAAGCTCACAGAATAATTAACAAAACGGAATGAGCTGTACTTGAATCATGACAGGACTGTTAGCTTAATCATAACTCTTCAATCAAGACTACCGCTCATTTATCCAATCATGCTTAACCTTCCTAGGGGCTCCCGTAAGAAGACCATAGATCTGTGCGAAACACCCTAGTAAAATAAAAGTTAATAATAATAAGCGTTGGAGGATCGACACGGCGACTGTGCTGGCTTAGCCTCAGACTATGTGGACTGGGATTGAGCGACTTCGATGTCTGCATCGGGCTCAAATGCTGGCTCGACAGCTGGTACAGCGGGAGCGGGTTCTGCTGGTGCAATGACTGGTGCAGATACGGTAGAAGGCTGGTGGAATTCAACCGCCGTTTGCGGTTGCAGCTCAATTTGGTCAGCCTCCTCTTCCCTCTCAGATTCTGCCATACGAAGGTGGTCAGAATGAACATGTTGCGTCTGTTCACCGGTACGAACAATATATGATAGCGGACCAAGCCGCTCGGCGATAGTACCGTGAATCCACTTTGGACCATTGCCATTTCGAGTGTTGAGAGCTGCTGCAGCATCAACGGGAGTGTAGTCTCTCTTCGTTGATGAAGCTGTAGTCTGACGCTGACGCTGGGTACTACTGAAATTAGGCTTCAGCAGGGAGAACTTGACGTTTAAGGACTTCTTGAACACCAAGCTTGCGGGTGTGACTTGTGTTGTTGAATGTGGTGTGTTGCGGTACGCGAACACAAAGAGGTGGAGTTGGGTGCCGGCTGACACGTTGTCCGGGCAAGTACGTATCGCCTTCTTTAACTCTTGGACACAACGTTCTACTTGTCCATTGGACGCAGGATGGTATGGCGTTGTGCACTTGTGGCTGATTCCGTTCTCCAAACAGAATTGGCGGAACAGGTGCGACGTGAACTGCGGACCATTGTCGCTGACCAGTGTCTTCGGGATGCCGTACATAGACAAGACGGCAGTAGGCACTCCAGGGTCTGGTGGGTTGTCGTAGAAGACATCCTGTAGACGCTGAGCCATTTTGAATAGGCGTCTACAAGCAGAAAGTAGTGCTGGCCGTCGTGTTCGGCGAAGTCGACATGCACTCTTTCAAAGGGCTCGGAGGGATAGATCCAGGGATGCGGTGCTTCCTTGGGTGGAGCGTTAGCGGTGTCTTGGCACTGACGGCATGACATGGCTAGATGCTTGATATCATCATCAATGCCTGGCCACCAGAAGAAACTACGTGCAACGAACTTCATTCACACAATGCCAAGGTACACAGTGTGCAGCTGTTGTAGCAGCGCGCGGAGAAGTTGCACAGGGATTACGGTACCATAGCCTCTCACCAAACAACCAGACTCGATCGTCAGTTCGTTGCGGCGGCGTCGGCGGTATGCTTGTAGCTCGTCAGGGGTGTCGGCGGGCCAACCGAACTGAAGGTACTGCATGATGCGTGAGATAACGGCATCATCTTTGCTGGCTGCGGCAACATGAGCGGCAGAGACAGGTAGAGATTCACATGGATCACGGGCATGCTGGAGAACGGCGTTCACAACGGTTTCTTCTTGCTGCTCAGACAGCTTCAATGGCAGGCGGGACGTTAGCGGTGCCACTGATATCCTCAATCTGGTACTCATACTCACTGAGGATTACTGCCCAACGCTGTAACCGGGAAATGGCTGTTGCTGGCATGTCGGAGTGCGGTCCAACGATACACAGCAGCGGCTTATGGTCAGTGCAGAGTACGAACGCACGACCATACAAATACATGTGAAGACGTTTCACTGCGAACACAATTGCTAGAGCTTCACGCTCGATCTGGCTGTAGTGCGATTTGGCAGTACTCAAAGCTCGGGACACGAAGCACACAGGACGTCGGCTGCCAGTATCATCTTCTTGCGGCAGACAGGCACCGAGGCCATACGGAGAAGCATGACACACGGCAATGACTTTGCGGTTGATGTCGAAGTGGACAAGAATGGGTGCATCGGCCATCAGACTCTTGACTTTCTTGAATGACTCCTGACATTCAGACGACCAGTCCCAGAGTGCGTCTTCCATGAGAAGTTGTGTAGTGGTTTGAGTACATCTGAGATAGATGGCACGAAACGGCTGTAGAACATCACTAAACCGATGAACGACGGCATAGCCGTCGGGTCTTTCGGTGGTGGTGTGTCAACAATAGCAGCAACCTTGTCGGCATTGGTTTGGATACCTTCGCCTGAGACAGTGAAACCGAGATAGCGGACCTGGTCATTGCTGAGTACACACTTCTCGAGACGTAAGCGTACACCAAATTCGGCAAGCCGCTCCAGTGCTTGACGTACGCGTTCATCGTGCTCAGCTGGAGTTGCTCCGGTGATGAGGATGTTGTCATAGAAACAAACCACACAGGGGATGACTTGCAGGATCTGATCCATGGTTTGTTGCCAGATTGCCGGGGCACTTGCAACACCAAACGTCAAACGGTTGAATGCATAGAGACCGCGATGCGTGGCAATGACGCAGTACTGCTGGCTTGCTTCGGATAGCGGCAGCTGTGTGTATGCCTGGCTGAGACAAAGCGTGCTGAACATTGACCCACCCACAAGACATGACAACAGGTCATTCGGATTAGGTATTGGATGCTGACCTGGATCGATGTGCCGGTTGATTTGACCTTGAAGTCGGCACAAAGGCGGATGTCGCCGTTCTTTTGCTGACTATCACTAGTGGTGAGGCCCACTCAGCCGACTTCACTGGACGTATGATACCCTCACTCTCCAGACGATCGAGCTCACCCTCCACGGCAGGGCGAAGAGCATACGGAACGGTCGGAGCTGAACAACAGTGAGGGGTCGCTCCCTCCTTCAAGTGGATCTCAGCTTGGTGATCCTTGACCGTACCAAGGCCAGTTCCAAATACCACCGGAAACTCATTCTTGAAGTCAGCCTCTGTGCTAGACACTGAGTGTATGCGGAACAATGATGGCCAGTCGAGACGAAGACGGTGCAACCAGTTACGACTGAGTAGGGGATGGCTACCGCCCTTCACGACCACAATGGTGTCTGTGATGGATTGCTCACCGTACGCTACTTCAACTGCCATCGTAGGTGGTGAGTTGCAGCTGGATTGCTGCAAGCGGAACATCACTCCACGACTGTTCCCACACATGTTTGGTACTAGAGTGACTTTCGCGCCTGTGTCCACTTCCATCCTCAGCTGACGTTCGTTGACGAACACGGACACAAACAGCGAGCTGACTCGTTCAGAGGAGACGTGACTTTCCCAATAGCGTAGGACTTATGCTGGACAGACTTTCACTGAGATGCTGGCACGCTGTGTGCTGAAGGTGCACTAACGACTTGATGCGTATCACCTCCTCTTCCTCTCCTTCCCGTCTTGGACGACCTGGATGTCGTCACTGGTTTCCTACACTTGCGCTTGTAGTGACCTTTCTTGTGGCAATTCAGACACTCCTTGCCACGTGCGGGGCAGTTAGCAGATTCTGCTGAGTGATCCGAAAGACCACAGTTGCTACATTCTGCTCCGGGTGGACCACTTGAGTACGTTGTTGGCCTAGTGCCAGTAGTGGAGGATACAAGACGGACAGGAGCTGGAGCACTGCGCGATTGTGACATTCCTCGAGCGCTAAGTTCAGTTGCCTCGAACTGTCTGGACAACTCCAGAGCATCCATGAGTTTGAGAATGCCTTGTTTCTCCAGAACCTTTCTACGTAAACAATCATCGATGCACTTCTCTACAAGCTGGTCACACACTTGCTCATCCTGGACAGCAAACGAACAAAGCTTTGCTTTTTGAACCAAACGGTTGCCAAATGGGCTACTGTCTCTATCTCCAGTTGCGCCAATCGTCGGAAGGTATGTTGTTCGAACATTACATTTGGAGTGTACTGGAAGTACGAATCCAATATAGTGACTACTTTGTCGTAAGAATTCTGGACAGAATCATCCGTTGGAGCTGGAGGTTCCGGGAGCGTGTCAAACACGTCCTGTACAGCAGGACCAACAAGATGTCAAAGCTTTGCTTTCGACCGTGTCGAATCGGTGATACCCTCTGCAGCAAGGTAGTATTGAAAACTGCGCTTTCCACTTCGCCCAGCGAACGAATACATCTTGAGCAGGGCCAGTAGGATCGAACTGAGGTACTGGGCATTCTGCCATTGCGGATTACAAAATACTATCTTCGTCACCAGTGTTATATTTGCCAGAATAAGATCGACAGAGAACTACATGAGCAAGAGCACAATTTACTATAATCTATACTTCAGAACGACAAGCAAGGAACTATTCGAAATCAGGAAACTGTTGAGTCATAGAAGGACTCACCATCCCAGACACAAAGGAACGACTGGGGACAGGTACTAGTAGTGGGAAGACATTTATCATGGACAGAGAGACGGAGAGAAAGAGGAACTAAACGACTACATTGTGAAAGAGAGAGAGAGATTTGAAGAGAGTTGAGAGAGAGATCTGAAGAGTTGAAGCAATATATAGGGCCTGGGTAGCTATGGCAAACATGGGTGCGCAAGTAGCTACCCAGGCCAACGGAACGAAAGGTGAGAATGACGTAGGTGAGAATGGAGGTACCTAACATACCACCCCTCCATGAAAAAAATCCCGCGTCCTCGCGGAGAGAAAAAAAGACATAGCTGACAGACTACTGCCGCTAGGGTTTATCGGGTGTTAGCGGCCGTCGTGAGTTCCCTTCGGGAACGGACACGATAATTTTTGTTTACTATCCTTGAGTTGCTACTTAGCGGAGGACTACTGTCCTTGAGTTGCTCACTGCTCATGCACAGAGAACCTTTTCCCCATCCACATACCAGAATAATTCTACTTGGTTTGGTTTGTTCATCGTTGTATGTTTGTGTGTCATCTTTTTTGTCGGGGGGGGGTGTACACTTTCCCTCGTATGTGTTTTGACGTGCTGGCAAAGCTATGCTGGTCGGATAGATATCAGGGTGTAAGCGAGTGTACTCAAGCAATTCCTAATACCTGTTTTGGTTTAGTTCTCTACAGGGTACAGGGTACAGGGTACAGGGTTCAGGGTACAGGGTTCAGGGTACAGGGTAGTTGAGAGTGTAAAATGTGTTGTTGGCCACCTGTATGGCTTGTGTGCATTTGCTGCCAGTTATTCATGAAGGCATTAGTCTTAGTTACATCTCCTTGGCTGGCCCTGACATCATCTCACACCCAGGAAAACTAAATTGTGAATGTGCCGAGCTCTGTTCAGAAACCCATGTGTGTTTTCTCTGTCTTTAATGTGTCCTTTTTTATCAACAAACTGCAGTTGCACCACCATCAATTGGTCCTGACGTAACAATGATCTACTCTAATGGCAGCTCATCCATCATTGTTGAATGGTCGAACCTTCCAGAGAAGGAAGTTCGCAGTCCTCTCCAAAACTACATGATCAGATACACTGACAACTATGGCAAGACTGGAACTGTTGAGATTAATGCCACGACACAATCGACTACGCTACTGAATCTAAGAGGCTCCAGAGAATACAAAATTTCTGTAAGAGCCGCAATAGCCACAGGTTATGGACCATATGGACCTGCAGCCAATCAGACAACTGCTGAAGGCGGTAAGTTATGTCATGGTTATGTTCACTTCACCATAGTGTTGGGTACATGTACAGGTATTACTGCTGACTTCTTGCTGTGGATCATGAATGATGCAACAGCTCCTAGGCTATGATGAAAAGTAGTTCAACTGTGTGACCCGTTGCCGCCACTGAGTCAACACATAGCCAGTTACACTTCACTGGGCTGGTGTAATACCGGTGGTAAGACATCCGCCAGCTTTCCTATACTCAAACCAAACTCTCACCACCCTCCAGCTGCTCTAGTGCAAGCCTCGCTACCCTACAGATGCCCAGGGACAGGCCTCACCACTCTACTGTACAGATACCCAGGTGCACGACTCACCACCAGACAGATACCCAGGGACAAGTCCCACCACTCTACTTTGCAGATACCCAGGTATGTGCCTCACCACACTACAGATACCCAGGTACATGCCTCACTACACTGCAGATACCCAGGTATGTGCCTCACTACCCTACAGATACCCAGGTACAAGCCTCACTACCCTACAGATACCCAGGTATGTGCCTCACTACACTACAGATACCCAGGTACGTGCCTCACCACACTACAGATACCCAGGTACGTGCCTCACCACACTACAGATACCCAGGTATGTGCCTCACCACACTACAGATACCCAGGTACGTGCCTCACCACACTACAGATACCCAGGTACAAGCCTCACTACCCTACTGCTACAAGCACCCAGGCAAACGTTCCACTGCCCAAAGGATACCCAGGGACAAGGCGGATTTCATTTTACTTCCTTTTTTAGGGATTGGTATTGCTGCTGCTGTTGTTGCTGTTGCTGCTGTTACTGCTGCTGTTGCTGTTTCAAATCTTTATTCTCACGATAGCCAGTGGCAAATAAGAGATAATATTGTAAGAAAGGAGAAAGAGTGAGGAAGAATTGGATGGGCAGGGCCTAGGGGTTAATGACTACTTAAGTGTACGGGCAGGGGTAGTCGCCACACGAGCATACAGAGTTGTGTACTTAAGTGTACGGGCAGGGGTGGTCGCTACACGAGCATACAGAGTTGTGCAACAGCAGGGATATCTCGGATTTGAAGGGAGAACGAGAAGGGATTTCGCGAAGCTGGGTGGGCAAGCAATTAAAGTAATGAAGGGCCTTGTACAGGGGAGAATGGAGACAGCGGTCAGTCCGCGGAGTTGGCAAGTGCCAAGTACGAGAGCGACGTAAATTATACGAAGGTTGCACGTTGCTAGCAGTATGCAGCGAGAGTATATATGGTGGGGCATAATTGTGGCGCAGAGAATGCGCGAAGAGTATATGTTTAACTTTAAAGCGTGAAAATAATGTTGGCCATTTGATGCGATGCAAAAGGTGGGAGTGTTCTAAGTGTGTGTAAAGGGGAAGGTGGGGACATATTCTGGCGGCTTTCCGCTGGAGTCGTTCTAGCCTGTCAAGGGAAGTGTGTGACAACGGTGTGAGAGCATTGCTCGCATATGAGAATATAGGTAGTATGTATGTCTGATAGATGTGAGATAAAGAATCACTGGTGAGTGTAGACCTTAGTCTAAAAAGAATATTGAAAGACTTGAGTGATTTTTGACTATGTATTCAACATGCTCCGTCCAACGGAGGTCATGCTGAAAGATTATTCCGCTGTTGTTGCCGCTGTTGCTGCTCTTACTGCTGTTTCTGATTTTTCTGCTCTCGCTGCTGTTTGCTGTTCCTGCTGTTGGTGTTGCTGCTGTTGCCATTGCTGTTGCTGCTGTTGCTGCTACTGTTGTTGGTACTTTTGCTGTTGCTGCTTTTGCTTTTACTGCTTCTTCTGCTGTTGCTGTTTCTGCTGTTGCTGCTGTTGCCACTGTAGCTGCTGGTAACTGTAGCTGCTGGTAACTGTTGCTGCTGTTCACTGTTGCTGCTGTTGTTGCTCATGTTGCTGTTGCTGTTGCTCATGTTGCTGTTGCTCATGTTGCTGTTGCTGCTGTTGCTGCTGTTTCAAATCTTTATTCTCACGATGGCCTGTGGCCAATAAGAGATAATAATTATAGTGAGATTAGTATGATGCGGAAGCTTCATGGCTAGCAGTGATCAAATTAGATGTACCGTATTTTTCCGGGTGTAAGTCGACCTTTTAAGACTTAAAATAGAAGGAGAAAGGGTGGGGTCGACTTAAAACCGGGATTCGACTTATAACCGGGAACTATCAGTATCTTACAAAAAATGACCTGCATTGTATGCACGAGTGCATCATGTGTACACATTTTTGCCAGTTTATTGGCCTCTTTCAAGGATTAGGACATTATACCCTCCAATAAGGAATATCTACATGATTTGTTTGATGGGCTAGTTGCAGGGAGTGGTTAGTAGGTCTTCTTTGGGTGAAAACTAGAAAACGCAGAATTGAGACCTCCGAATACGGGGGTCGACCTATAACCGGGGTCGACTTACAACCGGAAAATACGGTACGGGTGAGCGTGGCTCGTGCACGAGCAGATTGAGTTGAGCAGCAGAGTTGATATATTTTGTTCAAACAAAGCTGGTGATTGAATGTCGCGTAGCGTTGGTGAGAGGCCATTGAAGTAATGGAGCGGTTTGTACAGAGGGGAACCCAGGCAGCGGTCGGTTATTGATGCTATTGTTGCTGCTGTTTCTGTTGTTGCTGTTGCTGCTGTGCTCATTGTAGTACCATGGATTGGTCCCACTATAACATCAGCTAATGCTACGTCCAAGACAGCTATCCATGTCAGCTGGGCACCTTTAAGCCAAGAGGAACTTTGCGGCAATCTCCACAGCTATCAGGTCCGACTCGTGGACACCGCCGCTAGTTGGAGCACAGTTGTCGAGACTAGTGCCACTAGAAGGTCAGTCGCTATACACAATCTTACCGCTCACACAGAGTACAAGGCGTGCGTGCGAGCTTCAACCAGTGTTGGATATGGGCCCTGGTCACCATGTCAGCCAGTAACAACGAACGAGGGAGGTGAGTTCACTGCTATCCTGCTAACACCCAAGGGTATAATAGACTGATAGGTAGTGCAGCACGAAAATTCGTAGCACCGTATTAGTTGAGATAACGACTATTCGTAAGCCATGAGGTTGCGCACAACATGTGAACCTTTTCTGTCAACATGGCTGCGGCACGCAGGTAAGATAAAAGTCAAGACAGGGAGTTACAAAACATCAGTAGTTTAGTACTCCATGTGATGAAAAACAGTTTCGTAAATCTGCTCTGTTCTGGTCGCGTTTGGACAAATCTTCGTAGCAGATTTCGCCACTTGAACCCGGACGGTCAGGATCTCAAGAATTCGTTGTGCACAACCTCTCTAACAAGAGCTGCATTTTCCTCTCTCAACAATTAGCAATCTAAACGTATCTCATGTTCTCTTTACGGATCCTCTCTAGTTTGAATTGATTATTCAGTTTCATGTTCTGGGCATTGCGGAGTAAGACGAAAGGATTGATTAGTTTTCATGTTCTGGGCATTGCGGAGTAAGACGAAAGGATTGATTAGTTTTCATGTTCTGGGCATTGCGGAGTAAGACGAAAGGATTGATTAGTTTTCATGTTCTGGGCATTGCGGAGTAAGACGAAAGGATTGATTAGTTTTCATGTTCTGGACATTGCGGAGTAAGACGAAAGGATTGATTAGTTTTCATGTTCTGGGCATTGCGGAGTAAGACGAAAGGATTGATTAGTTTTCATGTTCTGGGCATTGCGGAGTAAGACGAAAGGATTGATTAGTTTTCATGTTCTGGGCATTGCGGAGTAAGACGAAAGGATTGATTAGTTTTCATGTTCTGGGCATTGCGGAGTAAGACGAAAGGATTGATTAGTTTTCATGTTCTGGGCATTGCGGAGTAAGACGAAAGGAAAGTTTGCATGTATTTCCTCCCGAAACAGAACCTTTGTGGCTTTTTCACTAATTTTCGCTGCTGTTCTGCTGTTCTGCTGTTCTGCTGTTCTAACTGCTGCTGTTCTGCTGTTCTGCTGTTCTAACGTTCGGTTGCTCCCTGTGTGTCTTTGTCGGCCTGAAACACCAACAGATGACAAAGCAGGACAATGGCACTGAGGAGCAACAAAAGTGTGAAAGGGATAGCAGCTAGCGTTTTGAAATCTGCATCCCCAAAAACACCAGCCAAAGTGCGAACAGGTCGGCAAGATGTCAAAACTCCAAACGCAAAGATGTGTCATTTCGCGCTTTGCAGCAAAGCTAAATAGTTCAAAATCGAATCATCGTTTAGTGGAAGAGCTTGCCTTTTTCAGCAGCCTCCACTCCGATGTCTCCTTGGTTGCATACGAAAACAGGCAAGATCTCCTCGCAGCAGTCGTGACGTGATGGGACGACTACAACGCAAAGAACATGCGAAATGTTTGGCTTTGCCGGTACGCGTTGTTCCGGAGCATTCTCGAGAGCCAAGGCGATACCAGAGTACCAGCGCCACCGCGGTCTTCCCTTAGATGCGAGGGAAGGCACTGTGTAAATCACGTACTTGTAACAGCAAAGAGGATCAGGGACGTGGAGAAGCTGCTCCGTAACATGAGAGAACGCGTTGATGGACCTGGCACTTACTTGATTGGTTCCAGCCGTGATGAATCGAGCGATGGCGACTCAGGCTGAGACTCTATTCCCATCAATCGATCTTGTACATACTGTACACATGTCCATTGAGAGTATTGAAGTGTTTCTCTTCCGATAGAACACTTTTGTTGAGCACAGTAACTCCTTGAAAATTCATGTGAGAAAGTCAGGAAGTTTTTGTTTCATGAGCGTTAGCATGCTAACTCGAGTTAAGCCTGGAGGGTCGAAGTGTCAATGATTACATTCCAGCAGACCGTATCTCTCCACAATGTCAAGATGACAATGCTGCAAACATTATTAGACAAATGCTCGCCCCGCTGTATCTTGCTAAGCTCAATGTTAAAAGTGCATTCTGCCGAATTCCACTCTGCCCGGAGGAGTGGCCCTTGTTGATCCGCTGGCAGGATCAATACTGTTATGAGAGCGTCCTGCCCTTCAGACTGTACTACGCTCCAGGCCAGCTATATGGAACTCTGTCGCATCCTCCAGTGAATGGATTGTGTGCGGGCAGTTCGCACTCCCACGCCTGTTGCATTACGGGGAATACCTCAACTAACGTTACTTCCTCAATGCACGCTCTGGACTTGTGTTAGCTCGCCAGCAACTCGCTATTCTTCTCCGAGCGTTTACATACCTCGGTGTTTCTCTGGCCCCAGCAAAAGTGGAGGGTCCAGCTCAAGTCCTGACGTTTTTGGCGGGAAATACCTCGACTAACGTTTCTGTCTCCATGCATGCTCGGGACTTGTGTTAGCTCGCCAGCAACTCGCTACTCGGCGCTGTGCGTTTACATACCTCGGTGTTTCTCTGGCATCAGCAAAAGTGCTTCCTCAATGTATGCTCTGGACCTGTGTTAGCGCGCCAGCAACTCGCTACTCGGCGCCGCGCGTTTACATACCTCGGTGTTTCTCTGGCGTCAGCAAAAGTGGAGGGTCCAGCCCACATCCTGACGTTGATCGGCGTCATCCTGGACACCCGCGCGCTCACATCAGTCTGCTGATGGACGAACTTGCCAAGCTTCACGACCTCCTACGGCCACTCTCCACACGGCTTCAACTACCCAACATCAACTCGAGTATCTTCTGGGAAAGCTCTCATTTGCTACGAGAGTGATAGTCCCAGGACGCACATTGCAGATTGTGGTCACTTGCCAACTGGTACCGGCAGCCGTATTTCCTGATCAAGCTCTTCGAAGAGTGCCTCAAATATCTTCGCTGATGGCCAGAGCTCCTGGAATAGTAGAACGGCCGGTCCTTCTTCCTACACCCTAAGTGAACGCCGTCCCCCAACTTGCTGCTATTCACTGATGCAAGTGGTGCACTTGGCCGGTGCGCAAACAATTGCGACCGGGGATAGGGCGATGGACAGTTAATCAAGCTGACCAGCCAATCGCAAAGAGTGGTTTGCAATTGTGACAGCACCTGGGAAAGCTAGCGGCACCAGCTGTGGATGCCAATCGATCGGCTTTACAGCTACTGCGAGAATCTTGCTCATCAGTTGTGGCTATGGCCTGGCGTTATACACCGGCCACTCGTTTTGAATCAGCTGCCGGACTCGATATTCAGAGAGTCGGGAAGGTGGAAAGCGATGTCTGCCCGAGTAACATTCAGACGCTACCTGCAGCCAAAGCATGGGTGGCTGTGGCAATGGCCTCAGCCCATGATATCGAGTCCTGTTAGTCAATCGTTACCGAGCTTGCACTGCTTAAAAATTTCACAGGTAGCTGCACTTTGTGATCCACTCTCGGAGTGCCGATTTATGGAATATATGCTCTCAACTGGTTATGCATCTCTATATATTTAGCATTTGGCGGCTCTACTCAGAGTCATTGGCGGCTCCATGCGGCGGCATTTAGCGGCTCCACGCGGAGTCATTCGGCGGCTCCATGCGGAGTAATTGGCGGCTCCATGCGGAGTAATTCGGCGGCTCCATGCGGAGTCATTCGCCGGCTCCATGCGGAGTCATTTGCCGGCTCCATGCGGAGTCATTCGCTGGCTCCATGCGGAGTCATTCGCCGGCTCCATGCGGAGTCATTTGCCGGCTCCATGCGGAGTCATTTGCCGGCTCCATGCGAGATCATTCGCCGGCTCCATGCGGAGTCATTTGCCGGCTCCATGCGGAGTCATTTGCCGGCTCCAGGCGGAGTCATTCGCCTGCTCCAAGCGGAGTCATTTGCGGGCTCAGCTGCGAGCCATCTAGCGGCTCCAAGCAGAGCCATTATACCAGTTGCTCGAATCGGCACTCCCAGCTTAATGCAAAACTCGGTTGCTCTGTTGTGAGGTGGGAGGTGGGGGGATTCTAACGGAGGAAGTACTGAAGTTCAGCGTACATGTACATGAACGCCACTGCTATGCATGAAAACATGCGCATGTACAATAGAGAAGTGTGCATACATCACATACATATTGAATGGTGATGGGTGCAACCGAGAATTGAGGATATGTGTACTTGAAGTAGATGCAGGACATTTGGCCTCGGTCCCGGTTTGGGTGTCCGTAACAGTCAGGTACCACTATAATTACTTCAAAGTAAAAAGGTGGAAATCTGTTTGTTTTGGAAGTTACTACTGAGTATATGAACCTCCTAGAGTGAACCCAGAATGCACAGTTGACCATGAAGAGAGATATGTGTACGGCCATCCTGCTGCTGTCACCACCGCTGCTGTGTTCACTCAAAATGATAGGGAAGACCTCCTGCTCAGTTCTTGGGATTCTTTGAGTCCACACACACACACACACACACACACACACATACCTCAGACCTCACACCTGCCCATCGCGGAAGCGATGATAGCGAATAGCTATCAGGAATGCCGAAATGACAACTAAGTTACTGTCCCTGTCCATTTGTACTTTCGGAAATTTTTGGCCTTTTTACAATTCGAAATGCTCTATAGTTACAGGACAAGAGCATCGTCTTCACTTCAGTGACAGAAACAACAACAGTGGAACAGTGTTGACAATTGTACAGTGCGTATCGGTTATAGTGTGGTCGTATACAAGAATATACTGCCTACAAGAATGAACACTCATTTTTTCATAATCATAACACCTATTTTATGTGTATATTTATTCTTACAAGCAGTATTATCGCATAGTAGAATATATCGGCCCTAAGAATGGATTTTGTGTAGCAAAATATGCCAGATTAGTGCAAAGTGTATCGCCTATAGTAACAACATCTGTGCTCTGTGCATGCTCAATACAATAATATTCAACACAAAAAGAGAGTTATGTCCAACTGAGCATTGGAGAATCACTTTTTCTGTCCAGTCCGACTCTTTCTTCCGACTTCTCTCCTATCTGCTGCTCCGCAGTCGCCTAGCACGACCGCGAGTCTGATCCGTGTGTATCATGATTGTTTAGACCTACATGATTGTACGTGTCCACATGCCAAACATGTATTATGTCACACGTGCATATGATATGTCACGTGATTTATCGTGTGTAAGAAATATCGGCAATAAGAATCAAATGTCGTTTTTCAAACACCCACGCTATAACCGATACCTACTGTACAATCCTTCCAGTGTCATCTAGAACTAGGGCTGAAAAAATTATACCGATAACTCGCATATCGATCGTTAAGAGTGCAATCTGATAACCGCAATCAGTAATACAAGCTGGATCGACATTTGTGTACACTGTATTCATGTATTGTAAAACTGTGGAAACAAAGTGCAATAAAACGATGAAAAATGTGAAGAAATTGTGTAGAGAAAGAAAGGGATTCAAACAAGTTTTCGTACAACACTGTGTTCACAACTGGCGCGTGGACGCGTGAAACCACGCGTTTGTGCGTATTTTGCTGGCTTTTGGGGCGCCATGCGTACGGAAACGCGCCGAAATGGAACTTCCAACATGTTGGAATTTTCAGCGCGTATCAGGCGCGTATCAGCGTACATGCCAGTCAATTTGACTGGCGGGGTCAAAAAATTAGTACTCGAAGGTGTCGCACGCGCTAAATACGACTCGGATTGCTGTTTTTTGTGAAAGGCTGAGCGCGCGTTTGGGGGCGCATGAACCGCAAGCGTACCCAGGTTAAGGGCCCGGTCACGCATGCACTGGGGTTTGCTTCGGCGTCGAGTTTCTGCGACAGCGAGCCTGGTGTCGCTCCAGCGAAACCACGTGTGTATGGTCACACATAAAACACGGCAAACTCCTATTTTTGGTGGAAAATGAGAGTAAAGTGGACTGTGGTGCATACAGTACGGAGAATAGACGAGGTCAATGACTATCTTGCATGCATTTTTGTTGCATGGATATCATACGCATACAAAATTCTCGTAGCAAGTCCATATACAGCAGACCGTGGTGTTTTCCGCTGAAGTGAAACCTCAGAAGCGACAGTCTCGCTTCGAAAATTTTGGAGGAAGCGGATTGGAGTTTCCGCTGAAGCGGAAGTTCCGCTTTTCGCCGTTGCAATGCCATTTTTCGCTCCCGCGACCTCGCATCAGCGTATACGCTACTTTCGAGTGCATGTATGACCTGGTCCTGAGCTGATTGCGCTCCACTGCTCGCCGCCGCGCCGCTACTTCGCCGTGAACTCTGTATTTATCATCATCCCTACTCCCTCGTTGCGTCTCGCCGCTTCACCATCGCCAGGCAGAGGCCGTCCCGAATTTAGAAAGGCGCTGCCACCGATAATCCAAATGTCATGTCCGAACCACTTTGTTTCCCGCACGCGATGTCAATCTCGAATTTTTGAAATTCATGAACGAGGAAATCCACTTTCCTTTCAATAGCACCCGCAGCCACGGACGGAACAGCACGAAAGACTCTTGCATCTCCACTATCCTCCACCAAAGAGCGGACGTACCACGTTGCTTCGGACAAATTTCTTTTCGTTCTATTCCCTTTGGACTTCATTCCTCGCTCCAAAAATTCAAATTTCAGGTGCCTACTCCAAAACCTACTGTCAGAGAGTCGCAACTCTGCTGAGAGACATGCTGCCGCAGCCATGGCCTGGTCTACACCACACAGCCATGATAGCTGAAGCCAGCTACAACTCCATTTCGTCAGAGCTCAAAAATACACACACACACACGCGCGTGCGCTCGCGCGCGCACACACACACACACACAGACTCGCAGAATCACACCTGGTTTGTTTGTGTTCAATGTTGCCATGCCCTGCAGTTCCATCGGCTGCTCCTAACATACTGTTTATGACATCCACTTCTGTCACTTCTATCTACCTAAACTGGTCCCGAGTGCCAGAGGCGGAACTCAAAGGTGTCCTGCATGGATATCAGGTCCTACTCACTGATGCGGGTAATAAGACATCAGTTGTGGAATTGCCAGCATCCGCTACAAACGCTAAGCTAGATCACCTCCTTTCAGGTACCGTGTACAAGGTTACTATGAGAGTTAAGAATGGATTAGCCTATGGCCCTCATGGGCCCACGTTGTCACAAGAAACTATGGTCGGTAAGGAACATTCTGCAATTGCTTGATCTGACACCCCCCCCCCCCCCCTTTCCCATCACGAAGTACATTGTACTCATGGTAGAGCAGGGGCGTAGCACCCTCTACGACTGGTACGACCATGGCCGTACCACTTTTCGAAAAGTGTGGTCCGTCCGGAACGTGCAAAACCGTAATAAAAAAATCAGGATCCATCGATGCATATGCGCATCAGACTTTGGCCTTTTTCTAGACTCGTACTCGTAGATCTGCCATGCATCTGTGCATGTCCATGCACGTCTCTTCTGACGGTGAAATAATTCTATGACTTAATAAACTGTGCCCGAAGTTCCCAGAACGCAGGATTTTGTGTCTATTTTACAAAATTTTCCCGGGGTACGTCCCCTCCCACCCCCCTCCGAAACGGCCTTCGGTCGTACCACTTCCAAAACCCCTCCTACGCCCCTGTAGGGTTCTTGAAGCTCTTGCCTTTCTCTGTACCTTCAATGGTGATGTCCAAGCTCTAGACCATCCCTGACCGGGGATTACAGCATCTACTAATATCGTGTATTGTATCCAGTGTAAAGGCCGATGTACAACTTTTGCCACGCGACACGCGATTTGCGACTTTGCAACAAAAATGCCGGTCGCGTCGCGAGCTGTCGGGGACAGGTGCAGAAGTTGAAGAAAGTTCAACTTTTGCGACATGCAACACACGGCGTGTACAAATGGTAATGCATGCATAGGGATATGTTGCAAACACCAAAATGATTATGAACCGTGTGTCACTGTCGCAGCTCGTCGCAGGTGTCGCAAGTCGCATGTCGTGTCGCAACAAGTTGTATTGTGAACCGGCGTAGCCTGCACGGCTGCTTCAGTGTAGTTATTAGGTATATATAATATCCACACTAGTCAGAACAACAGATGGCTTGATCAGTCACAACTTAAAGTTTCATGCCATCTCAGGCACTCATCAGGTGATATGAACATCAAGAAAAATAACCCAGTATATATATATATATATGTATCTATTATTGCACGATTAAAGAGGTCAATATATGAAATATAGAACGAGTAAAAGACCGAGGTCCCCCGAGGTTTTTACGAGGTCTATATTTCATATATTGACCGATCATGAGGGCAATAATAGATTTATCACGACATAGCATACCTAAACTGTTTTTAGCTGTGTTTATAGGAAGAAAGGAATACTATTGTAATAGTACATAGTATGTACATATGCCGTTTACATTGGACATTACTTCTCTATAAACAGAAGTTTTCAGTTGTCACTTGTAGTATGTTCCCCAAGTTCTTTGACTGAGAATCTGACAGTTTGAGTTCGTATCCCAAACGTTTGGCTTCAGATTTTTCTTCTTTCAGTTCTGATTTTTTTTATAAGTTGAGGAGAAAGTTCCAAGTCCTCGGGCTAAGTGGTCAATAATAAGTGGTCAATATAAGCGGTCAATATATGCTGATATTTGACCGCTTAGAGATCACAAGTTTCTGTGGGGGTCAATAATAAGAGAGTGATAAATATATATATATATACTCAATCTGCGGACAGCATAAATATAATATAAAAATTCCATTTTCAAATTTGGACTTCACGGAGAATTTCAAAGTATTGGGAAATTCGAGGCCACATGCCACGTAGTCACGTACTGCTCTTTTCTCTCCGAAACTCGTAGCAAGGTCCCTAGTTCGAGTACCGGTGGTGTGGCTGATGATTTTTTCTTTCTTTCATATCTGGCTTGCAAGTGTTGAGTTTCGGAGAGAAAGGAGCAGTACGTGGCATGTGGCCTCGAATTTCCCAATATACTTCAAGTATAAAAAAGTTTAAAAAAACCCTACTAGTATTGTAGTATTCACTGGTTTGAGGGAAAGTACTAGTAGTAGTTAACCTAGTCTACAGCTTGCTTCCAACTCAACATGATTCAACATGATTCCTGGGTCCTGAGCTGACTAATGGCGTGAGTCTAACCCGGCAGCAGTTCCCTGCTTCTCAGCACTGAGTGCGACCAATGTTTGTAGGGTGGCAGCTGAGCAGTGTCCAGTCATCCACAGTACTGGCCAATGAAATCCAGTCCAGCATCTACAATACAGCCCAACGAAATCCAGTGAGCATCTGCAGTACAGCCCAATGAAATCCAGTCAAGCATCTTCAATACAGCCCAATGAAATCCAGTCCAGCATCTGCAGTACAGCCCAATGAAATCCAGTCCAGCATCTGCAGTACTCCCCAATGAAATCCAGTCCAGCATCTGCAGTACTCCCCAATGAAATCCAGTCCAGCATCTGCAGTACTCCCCAATGAAATCCAGTCCAGCATCTGCAATACAGCCCAATGAAATCCAGTCCAGCATCTGCAGTACAGCCCAATGAAATCCAGTCCAGCATCTGCAGTACTCCCCAATGAAATTCAGTCCAGCATCTGCAGTACTCCCCAATGAAATCCAGTCCAGCATCTGCAGTACTCCCCAATGAAATCCAGTCCAGCATCTGCAGTACTCCCCAATGAAATCCAGTCCAGCATCTGCAGTACTCCCCAATGAAATCCAGTCCAGCATCTGCAGTACAGCCCAATGAAATCCAGTCCAGCATCTGCAGTACAGCCCAATGAAATCCAGTCCAGCATCTGCAGTACTCCCCAATGAAATCCAGTCCAGCATCTGCAGTACTCCCCAATGAAATCCAGTCCAGCATCTGCAGTACTCCCCAATGAAATCCAGTCCAGCATCTGCAGTAAAAAAAAAAAAAATTCACGGTTCGCGTGAGACTCGGCTGGAAGCCGAGTTTTCCGCATCCGCCGTGGGAACGCCACCACCCTCTAGGATCAAGCATCTGCAGTACTCCCCAATGAAATCCAGTCCAGCATCTGCAGTACTCCCCAATGAAATCCAGTCCAGCATCTGCAGAACTCCCCAATGAAATCCAGCCCAGCATCTGCAGTACTCCCCAATGAAATCCAGTCCAGCATCTGCAGTACTCCCCAATGAAATCCAGTCCAGCATCTGCAGTACTCCCCAATGAAATCCAGTCCAGCATCTGCAGTACTCCCCAATGAAATCCAGTCCAGCATCTGCAGTACTCCCCAATGAAATCCAGTCCAGCATCTGCAGTACAGCCCAATGAAATCCAGTCCAGCATCTGCAGTACTCCCCAATGAAATCCAGTCCAGCATCTGCAGTACTCCCCAATGAAATCCAGTCCAGCATCTGCAGTACTCCCCAATGAAATCCAGTCCAGCATCTGCAGTACTCCCCAATGAAATCCAGTCCAGCATCTGCAGTACTCCCCAATGAAATCCAGTCCAGCATCTGCAGTACTCCCCAATGAAATCCAGTCCAGCATCTGCAGTACAGCCCAATGAAATCCAGTCCAGCATCTGCAGTACTCCCCAATGAAATCCAGTCCAGCATCTGCAGTACTCCCCAATGAAATCCAGTCCAGCATCTGCAGTACTCCCCAATGAAATCCAGTCCAGCATCTGCAGTACTCCCCAATGAAATCCAGTCCAGCATCTGCAGTACTCCCCAATGAAATCCAGTCCAGCATCTGCAGTACTCCCCAATGAAATCCAGTCCAGCATCTGCAGTACAGCCCAATGAAATCCAGTCCAGCATCTGCAGTACTCCCCAATGAAATCCAGTCCAGCATCTGCAGTACTCCCCAATGAAATCCAGTCCAGCATCTGCAGTACTCCCCAATGAAATCCAGTCCAGCATCTGCAGTACTCCCCAATGAAATCCAGTCCAGCATCTGCAGTACTCCCCAATGAAATCCAGTCCAGCATCTGCAGTACAGCCCAATGAAATCCAGTCCAGCATCTGCAGTACTCCCCAATGAAATCCAGTCCAGCATCTGCAGTACTCCCCAATGAAATCCAGTCCAGCATCTGCAGTACTCCCCAATGAAATCCAGTCCAGCATCTGCAGTACTCCCCAATGAAATCCAGTCCAGCATCTGCAGTACTCCCCAATGAAATCCAGTCCAGCATCTGCAGTACTCCCCAATGAAATCCAGTCCAGCATCTGCAGTACAGCCCAATGAAATCCAGTCCAGCATCTGCAGTACTCCCCAATGAAATCCAGTCCAGCATCTGCAGTACTCCCCAATGAAATCCAGTCCAGCATCTGCAGTACTCCCCAATGAAATCCAGTCCAGCATCTGCAGTACTCCCCAATGAAATCCAGTCGCCGCTTCACTCAAGTTTTTTCGCCTGCGGCACCATTTCACAGCCCAGTGTCTGCAGGTCTGGTGGTGCGCAACGCCCGGCGGCGTGTACTTGAGTGACCCGACCGGATTTCATTGAGCAGGACTCAACTTGACTCACATGGTTGCATTCCCTTGTGCAGCACTCTAAGAGTCAATGTCTGCATCGACCAAATATCACCCAATTTACGATTTCGCTCAAAGTTAGTTGGCTCCTTTTATCCCTAGGTGGACCTCGTTCACCAACTATGACAGTTTGGTCCAGAAAGTTGCCAGAAACCTTCTGCTCTTTAGATATTGACCAAATTTAAAAAAAAATGATAAACATATGAACTGGAACACCTTCAAACAAGGTACAAGAACGAGGGTTCACCGCCGCACACAACAACACAGCGCAGCCAAACCACTGGCTACGTTTGCACACCGATCCAAGTTACCTAACTTAGTAATGTTTAGCAATCCAAATTTCGATTGGCGAGTTGCCAATTTCTCGCTTTTTTGTCACTATCTGTAGCACACCCACTGTATTGGTCGCACTGGTGGTTCCCCATGCTGACCCAATAGCGCTGAGATTAAGCCGATTTTTCACCCCGGCAGTAATCCCTGCGGTATTATTGTCTTCGCTGACCAAATACCAGTTTCACATCGCCACCACTGCACTTCACACATATGCGCCACCTGCCACACCAGCACCAAATATCTAGGCACGCTGGCAAGAACTTCAGCAGAAATGCCGCTGTCAGATGTGAGCAGCTCCATTTTCTGCCTGGTTTGCCTTCAGGTGTTCAAAACGTTCTTGCCAGCGTGCCTAGATATTTGGTGGTAGTTCAAATAGGGCTTTCAAATGCAAGATCATAACGTGAAGCAACTTGGAAGAATTAGGATGAATGCGAAGTGTACCGGGTTATGTCTTGAAAAAAATAGGAGAAATGAAAAATGTATAACATCCCTATGTATTTTTTGCCAAGGTCATCAAGGTAAAAAAAGCATAGCGTAGGGCCCTAGCCCTGAGCTTGCAAGATCTCTGGATCAAGTATAAAATTGGCCTTTGCTGATCTCATGATATGCATGATATGCATGATATGCATGATATGCATGATATGCATGATATGCATGATATGCATGATATGCATGATATGCATGATATGCATGATATGCATGATATGCATGATATGCATGGCAAAGTGACTGTGGCTGATCATGATATGCATGGCAAAGTGACTGTGG